TGATGATGATGATGATGATGATGACAATGATGATGATATTGATAGTGGTTGTTGGGATGATGGTGTTGATGATGCTGATGCTGATGCTGATGCTGATCATTATGATGTTGATGTTGATACTGATGAGGATAAGGATGATGATTATGACGATGACGATGATAATAGTGATGCTGAGATTGATGATGCTGATGATGATGACGACGATGATGTTGATGATGATGATGATGATTCGGATGATGATGATGATGATGATGATGATGATGATGATGATGATGGTGATGATGATGATGATGATGATAATGATGATGATGATTATGATTATGATGATGATTATGATTATGATGATGATGCTCATGATGCTCATGATGATTTTGTAGCAGCGGTCCAGCGGATCCAACGCCGCCAGGCTGGCGGCCTGCTCCCGACGCCGCCAACGGCGGCCTCAGGTCAACGATGTACTTCAGCTTGAAGACGTCGTCCTTGAAGCCCTTGAAGTTCCGCTCGCCGTAGCACCAGCCGTGCTCGGCTTCTTTATCGTCATCGTCTTGGCCGCGTTGTAAGCCTGCGCCCACCCAGAGCTGCCAGGCTGCAGCCCCTTCCTGATCCGCGCCAAGTTCTGGATCCCCGACTGCTTGAGGATGCCGCTGCACGGCTTGGCGAGGTCCTTCATCACTTCCCTCCGATGCAGCTGCAGGCCGTGCAGTAGTGGACCTCCAAGGTCGCGTCGTACTCTGCGAGGTGCGTCTCGTGCGCCTTCTGCAAGCCCACCTGGACGCCTTGGCTCAGCTTCGCGCCGAAAAGTGGCGCCACCTTTGTCACCAACTCTGCGCATAGCTCCTTCAACCAGGCGTCCGATTTGTGCCTCGGCACCCTCGCGCCGCACTGCTCGCACTTGAAGTACTTCGCGTTCGGGTCCTCTATGACGACTCTGTCGGGACGCGCTACCTCAGGGGGGCAAAATAGCGAACCCCGCACACGGCCAGCCCAGGAGGCAACCAAAGGGGAATGACCGCGAAGGCCCTCTCCACCCCATGGTGCGCCTCTTGGGCTGGAACCAGAGCGGGCGGCCATTCAGCACTCACCCTGAAGCTACCAAACCGGATGCTGCACCCAACCTCGTGTGGCATTGCTTGAAGGACCAACGGGACGCCTCAGGCGTCTAACCCGCCCCCGCCACTTAGTCACCGGCCACACGCTCCAAAAGTTCAGCCGAAACTGGCAACTACACGGCAGTTGGTTTGACGAGCAACGGTCAGGAGGGGAAAAACACACAGACACAACTAATCGTCGATCCCCAGGAAAATATAGGAAAATATGGGAAGTGGAATGGAGACGAAAACCAAGAAAATATGAGGACTCCTGGGATTTGTGTGTATCTATCTAAGTGTCCCTGGGCCCCTCTAAACGAGGGGGCAGACGATCCGAGTGCATCCCCTCCAGAGCTTGCAGCCTTTGGATGCTGCAACAGAGTATTTCGATAATGTGCGCGCACGGTGGTTGTCGGCATCTAGCAAGAGAGCACGCACGAGCTAGTGAGTCTTCGGCGCACATCAACCCGACCGAGTGGCGATTTCTAGAAAAAGCTAGAACATCTATTACGACTCCAAGAAAAAAGGACACCCTTCACTCACCCTCACCGCGGCAGCATCGACGGAAGAAGGCCTGCTCCACACATGTGCGTTTCGCTCCGTGGCCGACACGGGCCACGAAGTTCCTGACGGCGATGAGGCCCCTTTTGAGGAGGGCCAGGCCCGCCGCGAACTTGAAGCCATTAACTCAGAAGCGGAAGCCGCCGGTGTAGGTCCGCCCGTCCGTTTTGTAGACCGTGGCCAGTCAGTCTCGCCCCACGCCCTGTGGGGTGATCGCATCCTTTCTCCGCGCTGCGTCGCCGTAAAATAAGAAGAAGCGGAAGCCGCCGAGGCCGGAGTACAAGGAGCCCTTGGAAAGACGAAGTCCAAGGCGGTGCCGCTCTCTTGAGGTGCTTGTCCCCGCCCCCGGCATGCACTTCGGGCCAGACGGGGTATAGCCAGAGGCCGTTTGGGGAGGGCCGGGCCCGCCACATCTGAGATGTCCGCGTGGACCGGGGCAGAGGCGACGATGTTGTGCCACAGCAAGCCGCACTTCCAGTTCGAGTTGATTCTCTCTGAGCACTATGCGGCCCGCCTCCGACGCGGAAGATCGATGCTGACCTTTGGCCGATCTTCCTGGCGAAGTGCCACATGACCCCCGTGTTGATAATGGCGCGTGGTTGGAGCGTGGCCCTATTCGGGGCTTTCCTTGGCCATAAGTTCCGCCCTAGTTCAAGCGCTGGACCGCTCTGTAGTCTCTGCAGAACCCATCTGTCGTTGAAAGTAGGTATTTTTTGGATTTCTAGTCCCCAACCTACTTTAGCCGCCTTCTTACTTCAAGAGTCGAGTGGTTTTCCCTCTTCCCTTCTCTTCAGGAGGCGGGCGGAAACCCAATCCACTTCCAACGCCTTCCTACTTCATGGTTCTACCTACTTCTTGCGACCGAGGGGTACTGATAGTCGACGTAGGCACCCGCGTAGCCATGGAACATTCGCAACTCCACTTCGCCGACGTCCCGTCTAGGGGGCGCCTGTGGAACAGTGTGCCTGGGCTGATTGTGCAGGACGGCCAGCGCGCAGGCAAGCGGGAGGCTTCCATCCCGCACCCAACAGGGCTCGTTTCGATTCTTCCGATTCGATTCGACTTCGATGGCTTCCGATTTCGATTCGATTCGATTTGGGATTCCAATTTGGGCTCCGATTTCTCATTGCAGGCATACTAGCCTCCCGATTTCCGCCGATTCGACGTTTCCCGACTCGGCTGCCGATTTCCGTCGATCCGATTCATTTCGATCGCCGATCCGACTTATCGATTCGATTCTGGGGGCGCTTGTCCCAATGAACAGGACGTTTCACTCGAGCAGCGTGGCCGCCGCGTCGAGATCGACCAGGTGCAGCACGCCATCCGCGCCAATTAATGAATCATGTGGATTGGGAGTGGCGCCGTCCTGGACACGGACCGCCAAATCGCCGCCTCCATGCAAGGTGTGTAGCACGCTGCCGCACGACAACTTGGTACGTGTCCAAAGGTAGTTGCAGTGAACGGAGTGCCTCCGACACTTCACCATGACTTTGCGGCGGCCGATGAACGCGAGAGTTGGCCGATGATCTCCTCGAAGCCGATGGCGTCGTAGTACGCCATCCGCTCATCTGCGGACAGCGTGGTAGGCGTAGCGCTGCAGCAGCTGGTTTAAGTACAGCTTGTACGAGTTCGGCGGGCACAGACACGCCCTGATTATGAGAGATGGAGGAGCAACCCGCTCTCTATCTTCACAGAGCGAGAACATGTTCACCTCGCATATGCGGACCTCCAGTTGTTGAAGCGATGGGCCCGCATGTCTGTTGAGGACCGCGACGTCCAGGTCCGAGGTTTCCCATTTGGTAAGCTTCTTTTCCAGCACGGGCAGGTCCCTCTGCAGGTGCTGGGCGGATCCGCTCATCCTTTCTGATCCAACACCGGCCTGCGAGGTCGGTACCTAAGTCCGACAGCGCACGCGGGGCAAAGTGCTTGCGATTACGGTTCGGGCCTTGGAGGAGCACGAGGATTAATGGGATGAGGAAGAGAAATACGAACAGCGGGGTGATGGGGATGAGGACGAGGATGAGGAATGTGGGTGATGAGGATGATGAGGATGAGGATGACGATGAGAATGATGATGACGATGGTGATGATGATGTTGTTGCTGAGGATGATGATGATGTTGATGATGATGATGATGCTGCTCACGATTATACTAGTGATGTTGCTCATGATGATGCTGCTGCTGATCATGTTGCTGATGCTCATGATGATGAGGATGACGCTGATGAGGATTAGCATGATGGTGGTGAGGCTTGTGATGTTGAGGATGATGGTTGTGATGGTGATGATGACGACGACGGCGATACTGATGTTCATGATGATCATGATGATGATGTTGCTGATGATGATAATGATACTGCTGCTGCTGATGATGGTGATGCTGATGATTATTATGATGATGGGGATAATGATTATGATGATGATCGTGATTGTTATGGCGATGCTGATGCTGATATTGATGCTGACGACGATGATGATAATGATTGTGCTGACGACGAAGATGATGGTGATGATGGTGATGACGACGAATCATCTGATCGTGCTGATGATGTCAATACTGCTGATGGTGATGGTGGTAATGATGATGAGGTTGATGATGATGATCACGATGATGATGATGCTGCTGCTGCTGATGATGATGATGATGATGATGATGAGTAGGAGGATGTGGACGATAAGGATGATACTGATGCCGATGCGGCTGATGGTGGTGGTGGTTGTAATGATGATGCTGATGATAATAATGTTAATGATGATGCTGATGCTGATTTTGATGATGCTGCTGATGATGACGATGATGATGATGATGATGATGATGATGATGATGATGATTAAGCGCTGCTCCTGCTGCTGATGATGATGCCTCTGATGATGATGGTGATGATGGTGATGATGATGCTGATCATGATGATGCTGATGATGATGATGCTGATGATGATGCTGATGATGATGATGATGATGATGATGATGATGATGATGATGATGATGATGATGATGATGATGAGTAGAAGGAGGAGGAGGAGGAGGAGGAGGAGGAGGAGGAGGAGGAGGAGGAGGAGGAGTGGCGGGAGGAGGGAGATAGAGGAGGAGGAGGAGGAGGAGGAGGAGGAGGAGGAGGAGGAGGAGGAGGAGGAGGATCAGGAAGAAAAGGAGGGGCATGAGGAGGCGGAGGAGGAGGAGGAATAGGAGGAAGAGGAGGAGGAGGAGGAGGAGGAGGAGGAGGAGAGGAGGAGGAGGAGAGGAGGAGAGAGGAGGAGGAGAGGAGAAGGAGAGGAGGAGGATAGGAGGAGGAGAAGGAGGAGCAGGAGGAGCATCAACACTTTTGCCCCTTCGCGGCCGGTGCGGCCGCAGGTGGCAGAAGTGGCAGATCGCGGGGCGATGCCCCGTCTTCGGGCCGCCGCGAGCGGTCGAGGTCTAGGTCCAGGACGGGGCGGGGGGGGAGCAGAGGGCTGAGGGAGGAAGAGAAGGAGGAGGAGCAATAGGAGGAGGAGGAGGAGGAGGAGGAGGAGGAGGGAGGGAGGGAGGGAGGGAGGGAGGGAGGGAGAGAGGGAGGGGGGAGGAAGAGGAGGAGGAGAAGAAGGAGAAGGAGGAGGGGGCGGAGGGGAGGAGGAGGAGGAGGAGGAGGAGGAGGAGGAGGAGGAGGAGGAGGACCAGCGCAAACCTAAGAAGCATCAGCGATGTTGCAATAAACCCTCCCTCCAAGTTTCCTCTTGATGTGCCCTACAAGAATATATATATATATATATATATATTCATTGTGGCAAGTGCCCGATTGGAAAACAAACGTCTGAGAATCCTCAACCGTTTCAAGACAGAATTCCTGGGACTTCAGCGTCGCGATTCAACGTGACAGTTGCGTCCTTACATTCCTAAGCCGTGCCAATGCATGTTTCCTTGGACTTCAATACCGCGAATCAACATGACTACTGCGTTGTGACAATCCTAAATCCTGCCTGAACGTCATTCCTGGGACTTCGACCATGCGAATCCGTGAAACTGCTGCACATGTTCAGAACGAATGAGCGCGGCTAAGGCAAGAGCCACGTCGTTTTGAAAAAGAGCTGTCCTTTACATGTGGAACTGTTGCACTGTCATTTGTTTAAGACGAATGTGCGCGGCGCCAAGACATCCGCCCGTTACCAGTGAAATTGTTGAATTTTTGAATTCAGGCGAGAGATATATTTTGAAAACGGCCCGCTTTCCATCCGTGAAATTGTTGCAAAGCTTCAACATGAATGCGCGCGGCGCTAAGGCGAGAGCCACATGATGATGATGGCGATGGTGGTGAGATGATGATGATGATGATGATGATGATGATGATGATGATGATGATGATGATGATGATGATGATGATGATGGTGGTGGTGGTGGTGGTGGTGGTGGTGGTGGTGACGGTGAGGATGTGAACGATGCGCATGATGATGAGGAGGAGGTGGATGAGGAATGGGAGGAGGAGGACCAGGACAATGACAATGCTGATGATGCAGATTGTGCAGATGGTTAAGGTGATGGTGGTATTACCAATGATGGTGATGATTATGACGATGCTGCTGCTGGTGATGCTGATGATGATGGTGCTGATGATGATGATGATGGTAAGGATGAGTATGCCGGTAAGGACGGTAGTGATGATAGATATTTGATGGAGATGATTATGGGTCGGAGGGAGGAGGAGGAGGAGAAGGAGGATGAGGAGCGGATGAGGCCGATGATTGGCATGATGAGATAAATGAGGAAAGGCTAGGGCAGGACCAGGACAAGGACCAAATTGAGGATACAGATTATGCAGATGGTGACTGTGACCATGATGGTGTTGCCGATGATGTTGATGATGTTGATGTTGATGATGATGCTGATTATGATGATGCTGATGCTGATGTGGCTGATGTTGATGATGCTGATGTGGGTCATGATGAGCATGATGGTGGTGGTGATGAGGAGGAGGGGCGGATGATGATAATGATGATGATGGCGATTGTGGTGATGATGATGATGATGCTGATGATGGTAATGATGACGATGGTGGTGGTGCTGATGATGTTGATGATGATGCTGATACTTATGATGATGCTGCTGATGCTGATGATGTTGTTGATGATGATGATGATAATGGGGAGGAGGAGGAGGAGGAGGAGGAGGAGGGAAGGTCGAAGGAGGAGTAGTTAACATAAACTCATGATGATTTAAACAGTGCAGCAGGAACAGGACCTGCTTATGACCAGGACCATCGGGATGACCATGAGGAGTGAAGGAGGCAGAAGGGTATCGAAGACGCCTGCGGCGAAACACCGCCGCCCCCTGCCTTGTGGAAGCGCCTGTGGCCAAACATTGGGCCGATGTCTTGCCAAGCTATTGGACTGCGTGCTTGCCTTGCCGTTGTGGAAACCCTTGGAGAAACACTTGTGGGAGGAAGAGAGAAGAGGAGAGGGAAGAGAAGGAAGAGGAGGAAGAGGAGCAGGAGGAGGAGGAGGAGGAGGAGGAGGAGGAGGAGGATCAGCACATGGCAGAGGCGCCTGGGTTGAGGTCTAGAGGGTGGCCCTTGGGGCGAATGGAACGTGGCCGTGTCAGCCCCTCTCCCTTGCCCCTGGGCCCCCCCCTGTGTACGACAACTGGCTGGGGTGCTTGTCCGCACCCCAGCTGTTTTTTCGGACGATAGCCCGCCCGTCTTGTCAGCGTGATCTGCTGGAGCGGCCTTCTCTCGTCAGAATTGGCTGTTGGAGCCCACGCCTGGGGCTGCTGGAACCCATTGTCCCTCGTAAAAACTGCGTGCTGGAGCCCATCCTCTTTGACGGCATAACCTGCTGGAGCGATTTCCCCTCGTCAAATTGGGTGCTAGAGCCCACTCCGTGGGTTGCTGGAACCACTGTCTCTCGGAACAACTGGGAGAAGTTGCTGGAACCAATCCCCCTCGTAAAGATTGGGCGCTGGAGTCGTACCCCGCTTAGGACAGCACAAATATAAATCAGGTCGAGGGGGGGACGGAGAGCAGGGGTGGATGTCCTAGCATCGTAGCCACGCCTCGCCCTCAAACAGGGGCAGTCCGCGTGCGTGCGCGTGCGCGCGTACGTGGGCGTGCGCGCGTGCGCGTTCATGCGCGTTCGTGCGCGCGCGCGCGCGTTCGTGCGCGCGTGCATTCGCGCGCGCGTGGAAATATTCGAGCGCGAGCGCGAGCCCGAGCCCGAGCCCGAGCGCGAGCTTGAGACCGAGCCCGAGCCCGCGCCCCATCCGGAGGGTGTGCGCACGCGTGCGTGTGCGTGTGCACTCGCTTCCGGTTTGGCGATGTGCGTTCAACATCTCCATCGAGGACGAGGATGAGGACAAGGAGGAGGACGAGGAGGAGGAGGAGAAGGAGGAGGACGACGAGGACGAGGAGGAGGAGGAGGAGGAATCACCAACCATATTCACTTGAGTGTAGATGTTTCCTGGGGGCTGCGCACGACCCCGCTGAGCGTTTCTCTGGAGCTCCCTGGAATTTTCGGAGCTGCGCAAGAAGCTCGGGAAGCGCTGCGCGGAGCTGCGCAAACGCTACAGTCGGGGCGCTGAAGAAGGACTGGGGGAGGGGCTCCGTGTTCCTTCATTGTTTCACAGTTTGCCTCAGGTGTTCCTTGGGTTTTCGATGAGAAGTCGAAGTTCAACTTTTGGAGAAAAGGTGGCCTCGCTCCCTATTTGGGCTTCCTTAGGTCGGCGCCCCGCCTGCAGCGGCCCACGTATCTGGAGCGAGTCGGAGAGCCCTTCCGGGGCGCGCCCAGCGCTGCAGGTATCAGGGCCACGCTTATCGCTGCAGGTATACAGCCGGCACGAGGGTTGAGAACAGCCCGTGCTGTCGAGGGGTGCCCTCGTGTGATCGCAGGCCCAGAGGTTGACACCAACACCAATATCGGCGGTGTGCCTCCACCGAGGGAAGAAGATCCCGATCTCGGTGATGGTGGTATTATTCTGACTTCCAAGGTGACCGAACCATTACCACCAACACCGAAATCTAGGAACATCTTACCCCTGTGGAGGCAACCCCCTATGTTGGTGTTGGTGCCAATTTGCAGGCCTCCAATGTGAGCTTCGTGTGTGGGCCTTCACCTTTGAGCAGCCCTCGCTCTGTGTTGTCTCCCATGGGGCCTTGGGCCTTGGGCGAAGGGGCTCGTGTCCTTCATGGACCTCGTGTCGATGTCTCGACTGCACCCGAGCGTAGGAGCGCGCTTAGCGCCGCAGGCATACCCCCCGCCCCGCCCCACTCAGCAGGCCCCGAGAAAGGGGGGGTCCTCGACGATTCACGCAGACGAGCTCCTCGACGACGTGTTGACGCAGTGGCTCTCGATTCGAGCCGACACTCCTGCAGGACACGAGCGGGTGTGCACATCCTGCCACGACTCAGCACGTGGCTAGAAACGTGCTGCGGTGAGCGGCGCAGGGACGCGAGCGCTGGCGCACGCACGCAGCCTCCTGCCGCCCCGACCGCCCTCCGCGGAAGCCACAAGTACTCGGTGTGCTGCCAGGCCCGTTCGCGGTGGGCACCTCGCGGGCCCCGTCCTGAGGCCGCTCGCGCCCCCTCGGGGAGGGCCCTCCGCCAGGCCACCCCCCCACGGGGGAGGCCTGCGGGCCCGATTCCCCGGCACTCGCCGCGACCGAGGTTTGGAGCTGAGGGCACGAGTTGCTTCGGCGACTTGCCTGTACAAGTGGGGGCGGCATTGAAGGATCAGCCACGAATTCAAGGGATCAAGGGAGGAAAAACCACGCGGACCAGACACTTGGCGTTTACTAGACGGCCCTGGGCGTTCACTGAACAGCCCTGCCCTGTTCGATTCCTTCTTTGGGCGCGTTTACGAAACGACTTCGGTGGTTATTTGGGGGGGACGATTTTTTGACTTCTACGAATTGCCCCAGCGAGTTGTTTGTACAAGTGGGGGCGACATTGAAGAATCAACCGCGCTGGATCGCGAACCTCCCCTGGGCGCTCGAGGGCCTGCACGAAAGCACACTCCAAAAGAGATGAATTTTAAGTTGGGCCTGTCCCTCAACATGAGGAGTATTCAAAAATAGTCCGAAAATTGTCGGGGGACGATTTGTTGTGACTATTTTTGAATACGTTTTGAGTATGTTTCATTTTTCGTCCAAAAGCCTGTGGGGGGACACGCCCGACCTGAGATTAATTGAAACATGCGGCGGTGATCAGATCCCTGAGTTCAAGTTTGATGTCCTTCTCCTGGCTGGCGTAGCCGCAGAATGCTAGCATGGCCTTGAGCATAGCATAGCCTTGGGCCGAGACTGGCGCATATACCTCTGCGCCAGTGGGATAGTCAAAGTCATGATCTTGAAAGCCGATTGTACAGAGACCGTTTTTGTCGAGATGTTGATCCCAAGTTGGGGCCAGTGCGAATGCTCGACATGTTCTTCGGGCAGCACCAAGTGAACGTTCCTCGAGCGGTGCTGTACCAT